AAAAATATGAAAAGAGAAAAGACCAAGATGGCGACATAGGAGGCTCCTGAGCTCCTCTCCTCCCATGGATGCACCAAATATTCAGCTACACACTGAGCAATTGCATTTGAAAGAGATCCAGAAACTAGCTGAGTGACTCCCACACATTGGGCAAATGAGAAAATATGCATATCATAATGGGTAGGAAAAGTTGAGACACACTCGCACCCTATTCTTGGCACAGTGCCATATGATGGGGGAACCCCTAGCTCTCAGCTTCTCTCTGAGGAGCAAAGGACCTGGACCCCCCATCTAGTACCCCAACTCTCAAGGCTCCCATCTGAGGGACAGGCCCCCAAAACACCTATCTCTGAAAGCCAATGGAGCTTCATCCATGAGACCCACAAGACTATAGCAAACAAAGAAGCAGTTCTTAATGGGTGCCTGAGCACTCATCGTGGCTACCCCTCCAGGGCTCAGTGCAGAGGGAGCAGGCAAAAACGCCCATCTCCCAGTCTTTCCCTGAAAAGCTTTATCTGTGTACTTTAAAAACTACTGCTTGAGGGCCAGACTTGTAAGTTAGCACACATCTAGGGTCTAGCTGCAATCTTCCCCAGAGACTGGGGAAACCAGTGGACACTTCTCCCTCCTTCTTCCTCCAGTCTCCTAAAATAATAAAAGCAAGTTGCCAGTATCTCCCTGGAAGGAGGTTGTACACACACCTGGCTCCTCAGCTTTTAGGGCTGCTGCCTGAGGATGGATGCCCAGATTGCCTGGCTCTGATAGCCAATGGGGCTTGCATTCATGAGTCCTATAGGACTTTAACAAACAACAAACCAGTTCTTAAGGGACTCAGGAGTGCTCCTCTGTGACTATACACCTGGGCCCAGCACAGAGGGAGCAGGCAAAAACACCCATCTCCCAATTTCTCCCTGGAAGGGGCTTATCTACATATTTCCTCTGCGGCTGCTTGAGAGTCCACTGTCTAATTAGCCCTCATCTAGCTGCTGACTGTGATCCTCCCCTTTGGGACACTGACAGGTCTTGGCACATCCCCAACTACTGGGAACCACTAAGAACAAAGATGGTGGTTTGTACAATCACAAAAGTTTTAGAGACAACAAGGAGCTCCAGCTGGGCTGGTTGATAAGGTTCATTTCCTACACAAGACCGTTCTGGTAAGAGTAGGAGAGGCAGCTGTTCTATCTAATTGGCAGAAACCAATGTAGAGAGTCAAGGAAAATGAAGAAAAAGAAGAATGTGTTCCAAACAAAGGAATAAGATAAATCTCCAGAAACAGATCTTAACGAAATAGAGTTAAGTGATTTACCTGATAGAGAGTTCAAAATAAGTCAGAAAGATGCTCACTGAGGTCAGGAGAGCAATGTATGAACAAAGTGAGAATTTCAACAAAGAGATAGAAAATATTAAAAAGTACCAAACAGAAGTCACAGACTGAAGAATATAATAACTAAACTGGAAAATTCAGTAGAGGGGTTCAACAACTGACTAGATCAAGTGGAAGAAAGGATCAGCAAACTCAAAGACTGGGCAGTGGAATTCATTCAATCAGAGGAGCAAAAAGAATGAAAAAGAGTGAAGACAGCTTAAGGGAGTTATGTGACATCATTAAATGGACCAATATACACATTATAGGGGTTCCAGAAGGAGAAGAGAGAGACAAAGGAGCAGAAAGTTTATTGAAAGAACTAATGACCATTGTGCATTCAAAGAGCCCATAGTCATTTGCATTTGCATAGTCATTGTTGCAGTGAAATGCAACATCTGCATTTCACTCTGAGTTGCTGAAATCTTCTTCAGACGATTATATAATCACAGGGCTGAAACAGATGTATTTAGATGCTGTCTAATGCCATTTTCCCACCTTCCCCTGAGTGATCACTGGCTGCTTAAGGATAAACCACTTATCTAAGGAAATACCCAAAGAGGCCTCTAAGTTTAACATATTTACAGATAAGGGATATCATTCTATACCCATGAGCACTGTAACTAAGATTGCATATTCGTTTTATGGAAGGAAAACATAATAAGGAAAAATGTAATTAATCACTTTATTGCACTGATTTCTTTTAATAGCCATTTTCCTGACTACCTGATTTAACTATTATGATGGTTAACATGGAATATTGTAGAACCATTATGCTTACCATCAGTTGTTACAATTTCCTAAATATTCCTTGATATTCAACAGATATCATTTATAGAAATTACGTTAAATTCTTTTACATGAAGTTTCAGTTGTAAGAGTAGAAATGGATTTGTGAGATACTTGTGATTTGGGGTCTCTGTAACCCAGTGCAGAGGCACATAAAAGCTGTTTAAGACACTTTCATTTGAGTTCAGATTAGTTCTCTTGTTAACATTTAACTCATGTCTCCTATTCTTTTATCTTTTTGAAGTTCCAATATTCTTTGGCATCCTTGTGTTTTCATTTTGTGATGTTTTACTTGCTTTTCCCTGTAATTTGACCTTGGCACTTTAAAATATATATTACTGGTAGTTAGCTTTGATGTTTCTACAGTGAAATATTAAAGCATGGTGAGGTGAAGAAGTGGATTGAAATGATAGTACATAAAATAATAATACGTCATTGCTATACTGTTGGGGATCTAAGCAGAGACAGCTTTGCTAAACTTTGCTAATTTAAGAAATTATGGTTTTCACTCAACCCGGACTAATGACTGTCTGTGTGGGTGACAGGTTATTATACTGAATTTAGGTAGAGCATTATATTACTAGCTGTTATATGTTCAAAATTTTATAGCTCTGCAAATGTTGAAATCTGACTTGACCATTTCAGAGCCAAACCCCTCCAAAGGTTTTTGTAGTCATGTTACTTCCTTGGTACCTACGTCTTCAAGAAAGGACGTTGGATTATACATGAATAGAATAAAAAAGAAAATTAAATTTCACATTGATCTTTCAAACTAGTAAAAAAGCATTAATTAATTTATAGTCTACAGCCTCGTAGCATATGGAATAGTTATAATAACGAGGACTCAAGCTCACACACGTATGAGAATTACATCGTTTGTGTCACCCGCTTGGAGAACGACTCACAGTCTACCCGCCGTCTTCCGAGGAGGGCCTGCCACCGTCGGTGGGATAATGCCTTGGTGTATCTTGCCTTTCGATCTCATCAACGTTAGTGTTGGTTGGCGTTATTTTGTTGACGGGCAGCACTAAAAACCCCTGAATATTCACTACCGATTGACAACAGGCCCCTGACGTGGAAGACAATACCGTGTCAAACCACCGCGTCTCACTAGAAAGGGCAGGCCGTGAAAAGGCGCGGCGACGGCAGGAAGACATCCGCCCGTCTCGGGATTGGCCATCCTGCGGTGGTGAAGCGGACTCGGCTGCTGGCACAATTTGATCTAATCAAAATTTATAATACCTAAAAGTTGTTTTAAATGCTACAATGTAAGACAGCAGCACAAACTAGACGTACTGTCTCTTTACATTCACATACAGTTCACAAAAGTAATTCACACATATTTCTAATATAACGCACATCTTTCTTCACTCAGGAGGTATTTACTGAGTGCCAACCATGCACCAGGATCACAAGGTGACGACAGCGCTCACAGTCCCTGGTACTAACAACCGACTATTAAGGTCTGGCAGTCCCAGGCACAGCGGGGCCGCGGAAGGTCTCCCCCTTTCTCCCAGGCCCCTCCACCGGGCTCTTCTCGGCGCATTTTCTCTCTCTCTTCTGCATGATGGAGGGGCTCCCTGCTCTGAGGCGGGGCCCTCCAGTCAGAGGCCACCCTGACAGACCCCAGAGTTCATAATTTGAGGACTTCAACCTTAATTCAGTCTCCAAAAAAATGTTAAAGTATTTTACATCTAGAAATAAAAATGTAGATGATGTACAAAACATATATGTTGTGTTACTTTCATAAAGTAAAGCTGTCCAATGGAACTAAATACTATTGTGATACTGTAAAAGTACTGTTTTTGTACATTTTAACCAAGAAATCACAACTTAAATTTGGCTAATTTAAATATATTTATATATTTATTTATAATATTTCATATTTTTATATTAAACATATTAAATACATTTATATTAAATATATTAACATATTTCAAGCTATATTTTGATTAGAGTGGTATTTTATCTCTGTGTGTGTGTGGAAATATAAATATTTATTTATTATGTCAACAAAATAAATAATGTGTTTACTGGGTATAGAAGTATGGCAGAACAGAAACAGTTGCATAGAACGTGAAGGACACTGATTAATGGAAGGCATTTCAGACTGAATGTTACCACTACTGTTCCTGGAAAGAGCCCTGCCTGCATCACACCTTTGGGTGCAAGTGAGGAACAGATGAGCCGCTTGTGGTCTTCGCCGAAACATTTTTGTTCTCGCTGTGCCTATCTTGTAAAATTAAGACACTCCATAGTAAATGAATATTTTTTCAAAAAGTACACAAAATATTATCAGAGCATATAAAATTACCCAGCAATCTTGAAAACATGAGGATGTTTAAAACAGAAGATGAGTTCCTTAGGACTACTGGTATTTTATTTACTATATCTGTTGTTAAATGCTGAAATGTGGACCAGAATTTATTGTATATCAGAAAGGAGCTTTTAAAATAACAAGAAAGTACCTTCTGAATAGTAAATATTTATGAATTAATGAGATTAGGAAAACATGATTTGTAAAATTTTACAAATTAATGAATTAAATAATCATTAAGCAATCTCTATTCAATCAACTACAAACTCAAGATTATTACAATTTTCCCACCATGTAGAGATAATGACATGAGAAAAATTACAATAAAAATAGACAAAAAACCCAACACTATAGTTCACAGTGAAATTTTCTGAAAAGTAAATGTTACATGAATAATTTGCTACTGAAAATTCTGATCCAGCCAGGAAACACCAATTACATTAAAGGAAGCTGCTGCCAATACAGTATGGATGAAGTGATACAGCAAACAAAACAAGAACATGCTTATCAGGAAAAGAAAATACTTACTGGGGAAAACCACATCACTTTAAGAATCCAAATTGTAAGAGCAAAATTCACAAGGAGGATGATGAGTAAAAGAAGAACAAATAAGTAGAGGCAACGCTTTCTCCAGCCATAAATGCCAATTTTGTAGACATGCTGGTTCTCTGGCCTGTCTATGTGGGTGCCCTCTGAGGTTGTAGTGTACTGTTCACACACCATCTGCCGTGGGAGGGGGGTGGAAAGAGGGAGAGGCGAGAGGGAGAGGGGGAGAAAGAGGGTCAGAGAGGGAGATAGACACAGAGAAGGAGAGAGAGATGGAGGGAGGGACAGAGACAGACAGAAAGAGAAAGAACTTGTTTGTCAATACTGATTTGCTATGAGTCCAACAAAATAATATTTTTTATCTCAATAATAAATTTCCAAAATTAATGATTTTAAAAAAGACAAATATTACTTTGAAACATGCCACTGTGTTTCAACCAGAGTGACATTTAATGTCATCAAAATATTTTAGATATGAGAAATCTATTTGAAATCCAGTGACCATATTTTTAGATTTTAATCAATAAATTCACTATATATACAGCTTTCAAAATTCTTCAGGGTTAAATTTGAAATTGAAGCATCAACCTAAAATAATCACGTTCTCAAATTCTTAAAAGATTCAGTGGGAAGAAAATCAAGCTGGTACCTATATAGCTTTTAAAAATAGAATTCCATTATTCACCTTTATGTCAAATGATTAAATTACATCTTTCTTCAGCTACTAAATTACTCACAATTAAAAAGCCACTTTGTAAGATACATACCACACTAACTTTTGCTTTTAAAAAAGTTGCCAAGTATTGACCTACTTCGAGAGATCAGAAAATGTATATGTACTCAAATGTTTACAAATATTCATTGATATAAATTAGAGTAAGAGTTTTAGTAACAATTGCAACTCCACAAAGAGATTTTTAAAAATTATTCATTTTTCCCTTTATACAAAGAAAAAAGTGGTTTTAATTTATAAAATTAAGATCAAGATTATGAAGACTTTTCTGATTGTAAACGTAGTGAAATGATGAATCAGAATATAAAATATTCTTCTCTGAGATTTTTTTTAATGCAAAAGTTATGCATTTATTTTTAGGAATGGTTTGGAAGTGTCCTTATTTAAAATAAGTCATGGTCTAAAATAATTCTTTAAATCTCTTTCCAACTTAATAGGGATTTCGCCATGTTCTAACCGATTGTATACAACTGAGCTATTCATCACATAGTATTTTCAAATACTCAGGACTGACAATCTACATTATTCAAAACCTAAACGTTTAATGATGTCATAATGGCCTTATCTATTTACTCATTTCTCTGAGCTCCCTTCAGTCGTCCTTACATTAGAAAGCCGACCACGAGCACCACCATCCGCCGAGTTGCTCCAGGCAGTCTTACAGGTCATCCTTGCATCTTCTTCTTCCCTTCAAGCTCCATGTCAGCAAGTCTTATCAGCTCTGCTTTCAACGTGTATCCCCAGTCTGTCTCCTCTCCCTTTCCACTGCTGCCACACGAGTGCAAGCCACTACGAACTCACATCTGCTGGACTGAAAAACCCGCTTTCCTTCTTTCCTCTCGAGAAACCATTCTTTACCCAATAGCCAACGTATAAAATGTAAGTAAGTGTCTGCCACTCGATAGTTTCAAATCTTCCAGTGGCTCTCCCCACACTGAGAATATCCAGACTCCTCCATCACTTACCAGACCCCGCATGAAGGGCCTTTGCTTACCTCTTTGACCTCACCTGCTACCATCTGTCTTGCGCTCACCATGCGCCATCTACTCTTTAATAGACCAGGCTAACTCTCACCTCAGGACCTTTGTCCTGGGCATTCTCTCCACCTGAAAGGCTCTGCTGGCTCCTTCTTAGCTTTCAGTAGCAGCTCACATGTCGTCTCCCCAAAAAAGCCTCTCTGGACACCCAGTCACTCTCCATCACATCACTCTATTATATTTATTTCAAAGTGCTTGTCATTATCTGAAATAGTTGTAGCAGTTCCAGAATTCTGTAAAGGATAGGCCAACAGACTTCAACTGGTTTGGAAAGGGTAGCCAGAGTCTGAATTTAAAGCAAGTGCACTATTTTACAGTATTGCTACAGATCAACAAAAATAGTAGTTTTCTAAGAATGTGTGTGTATACTTGCACATACACGCAGTTTTCAACTGCTATATAGTTCTATTCCTATATATCGTTTCCTATGCTGGTATAACAAATTATCACAGACTTAGTGGCTTAACCCAACACAATTTTATTATCTTACAGTTTTGGATGTCTGAAATCTGAAAACGGGTCTTCTGGGGCTAAAAATCAAAGTGTGGGCAGGGCTGTATTCCTTCTGGAGGTTCTAGGGGAGAATCTGTTCCTTTCTTTTTGCAGCTTCTAGAGGCTGCCCACACTCCTTGGCTCCAACCTCTATTTCTGTTGTCACATCTCCTTCTCTGACTGACACTCCTGCCTCCCCCTAGTAACAACCCCTGTGATTACATTGGGCTCACCTGGGTAATCCAGGATACTCTCTCCATCTCAAGAGCCTTAACATAATCACATGTGTAAAATCCCTTTTATCATGTAAATTCTGGGGATTAGGACATGGACATCTTTGGGGGCCATTATTCTGCCTACCATAGAAAGCTTTTGTTCACACCTACATAAAATTGAGAAAACTTGAATATCCACTGAGACAATTTTGTTGTGGCTTACAGGAACGCTGATAGCAATTCTGTTAGAAGAGTAGCCCTTAAACCCCCCTAATTCAGCCAGGGGAGCCTGTTTTGTTTATTTGACTATTCATTTGTTTACTGACTTCCACTCTTTAGAATGTAAACTCCATGTGAGTTTTGGTCATTGCTGTGTCCCTAAAATAGTGCAACTAACAAACAATAGGCACACAATAAGTCTTAAATAAATGAGTGAATGAAATAAAGAACTGCTGAATTTGACAAACATTAATTGAGTTGCCTGCCAGGGATGACTGCTAGGAAATGGGGCTAGATGGATGAAGTCCTCTGAGGTACATACTAAATAAGACATTCTATGATTTATGAAGATGCTCAATCCATTAAGAAAAGATTTAGTACTTGTGGTTTAAGTCCAACACTCTTCGTAAACAATGATTGTAGATGACGAGCTAATCCCAAATGGGATGCAGGCTAAGCGGATAAAAATAAAATATGCTGTCTATGCTCAAGTATTTTCAGAAATGACACACTGGGAAGAGGACCAATAATATGTAAATATGAGGTCTCCAGTATTTTAAATATTGAAAGAATACTAATGAGGATAAACTATACAAGATTGGAAAAACAATCTTAGAAGGGGCGAGCCACCATCCTGTGGCCTCTGAGGACAATGACTGTGCTTTATCACCATATGCCCCAGCAAACAGAGGGTGCTTCACAAACATCTGCAGCCCCAGCCCCACTCCTCCACTCCTCTTTACAGCAAAACTCCTTGAGTGAGTGGACTATACTCACTGTTGCTCTAATCCTGTGTCTTCCATTCTCTCTAGAACCCAACTCCAAACAGGCTTTCACACCTAGCACTCCATTGAACTTGCTCGTGCAAGCTCACCAGTGACCTTCATGTTGCTAAAAGAAATGTGCATTCACATGACCTAGAGTCAGCACTTGGCATATAGTCACTGCCTCCTCCTTGAAACACTTTTTCCACTTGGTTTCCAGAAACTCCACTGGGCTTTCTTCTCATTGCAATGGCTGCTATTTCTCATTCTCATTTGCTGCTTCCTGCTCATCTCCCTGCCCCAGGCTCAACCCTTGGACTTCTCCTTTTTATATGTATTTACCCCTAGTTGTGGAGGCATCTTTAAGCTGAGGACTCCCCAGTTCCTAGCACAGACTCACCTTGAACTCAAGACTCCTATGCCAGTTGGGAACATGAAACTTCACTCATCCCAAACAAAACTCCTGATCTCATCTCCCCATCCTGCTCCTTGTAAAATTTTTCCCATATCACTAAATGGCAACTTTATCCTTCAAGGTGCTCAAGTAAAAAAAATCTTAGAGTTGTTCTTAATTCTTTTTTCTCTCCATACCACATCCAATCCATCAACAAATCTTGCTACCTTTAATCCAGAATCCGACCATTTCTCATCATCCTCTTTCACCTGAGTTATTCCAACAGACACCTAACTGTTCTCTGCTTTCATCCGGAAACCTCTTACCATCAATTTCCAACATGGAGGCTGGAGGAGTCCTTTTACAACATCAATTGGATCATGTCCCACCTCTCCATGAAATCCTCCTATAGCATTCTATTTCACTCACAGTAAAAACCAAAATCCATACCCTGACTGGCATGGCCATCCTGTCTTCATCTGTTGTCACACTCCCCTTTATTCCTTTTGCTCCAGTCACATTGGTCTGACTCATTCATGTCTATTCCAAGCATGATCCCATCTCAGAGACTTGGGAGTTGTGACTCCCTCTACCTGGAAGGTCTTCTCCCAGATAACTGCATGGCTCCCCCTTTACATCACTCACCTCTCTGCTCAAAGATCATATATCACTAGAGCCCTCCCTGACCACCTTAATTAAATAATGACCCTCCACTTATACCACTGTGTATCTCTCTATGCTCCCTCCTGCTTTATTTTTCTCCTTAGCATTTAACTCCAGAAGACATCCTATATATTGTACTTACTAATTTTATTGTAAATGCTCACCTCACCACATATAAGCCCCTAGAGGGTAGGGTTTTTAACTGTTTTGTTATTTTGTTGTATCCCCAGCTCCTATAACAGTGCCTGACACATAGCGTGTGCTCAATAAATATTTGCTGAATAAATTAAACACAAACGTTGAATGGACGAATATGCAGATAATTTCAATTTAAATGTACAATAGGCATAAAAATAAGTTGAGAGTTACTTCAGAGTCCCCTCAGCTGTTTATAATTAGTAAGTTGAAACCCACTCACAATGGAGTCCAGTTAGCGCATTAGTCGTTTACTGAGAAAGAGACTCAGCAGGCTCCACTACAGCCTGCTGAGGTTCTCCCGGGATGATGAAACCGGGGAGGCGCTCTCCTGAGTCTATGAGTCACCCCACATCTGTGCCCCTGCTTTTTGCAGACAGCGTAAGAGGCAGGACCCCATTTCCTCAGCAGAACATACTGATGACAGGTTGACCTGCCTTCTAGACCTTCCAGATTTGAGCTGTA